TCCAAATGTCTGACAGAATTCATCCTCGCAATGCCAGGGGTACTGAGTCAACATGTTTCCATTGGACCCCTGGTATACTTCATTCAATATTCGTGGGCTTGCTTCTCTCATTGATAAGCACCATTCAAATTAAAGCTTTTATAAACAATTAGATAATGTAAATAAAAATGATGCAGTTGACACCAGTGACCTCAAATGCACATGTTACAAGTTTATCATGGAATGGCTAAATGTGATTGATTGAGAAATAAGAAAAACAATCAAGATTTGTAATTTTCTGAACCTCACTTTGGTCAGCCTACAGATATTGAATGAAATATGCCAGGGGTCCAATGGCAATGTGTTGACCCAAGAGCCCTGGCACTGCATGGATAACAATACATGTATAAGGACAATTTTGACAATGCTCAGCCTCCTGTTCTTGATATACCTGAATTTGTTAAATTCCATTCAGGAACAGACACATATGCATACCGTGATTTTGTGGCCCCTGTTCTTTGGGGAGGGGGTGGTTCCACTATAGATACATCCTCCTCGGGGGGTGGTGCATCTAGGACTTGTACATCATCATCATCCTCACCATGCTCATAGAAACTAGCAACCGCTAGCTGAAAATATGTAGAGTTAGTCTTCAATAAATACTGCTGAGTAATTAAACATCAACCTATCTCAAAGTCCTCAATATTTTACATGGTAATTGTTTCTTTTTAGCTGTTCTATACCAATATTCATTTTTAATAAATAATGTCCCTAAAAATCTTCTGCATTTCCAATGAGAAAGCAATTTTCTAAACGTTCTGATCAAAATTTTTCTGTACATTTCTTATCATTTGTATAGATACCTCTATATTCCATCCAGATGACTCAAGGTAAAACTTTGCTCTGTCAGCATCAACGCCGGTAAGGTTAGTAAATTGTTCGATTTTCTCCTGTTGAGAATTGTCAGCCATGATTTTGCAGTTTTATTTATCTCCGAAGACTGAAGAGCGCTAAACCTAACCCGATCAAAATAATTATATGAGTGTGACTAAAATGGGTAGCGAAACCCGGGCCGGGCCGAGAATTTCAAAACTGAGAGCCGGGTTTTTGATAATTACGAGATAAATACTCATTCTTTCTTCACGAAATTTACAGACATAGTTTATAAGTATAGGTTTTGCCTTCGCTGAGAATTTTAAGTCAAAATGTTTTGTTTTTCGATGATTATCGCCGATTGTCCTTTTCCAGGTGACTAAAATGGGTAGCGAGCCCGGTTTACTCATTTTGGCGATTTTAAGCTTAATGCATCGAAAGTGTTTGTGATATTTGCATTTAATGGTTGTTTATTAACTTCAAATAGTTAAATTGTTCAATAATTATGAAATTAAATGTCAATTATTAGGGTTTTTGTCATTTTTCATAGACCCGGGACAGGTCAAAACCGGACGCGTTTGCCCGGGACAAATTAATAATTCCGGATTGCCAGCGAAAGAATGTAGATTTTTTTCAGAAATAAATTGGAAAAAATTAATAAAAATATGCAAATCAAAAAAGAGTCATTTATATTTCAATTATATGTCATTATCTGATAAGTATTTCGGAAATAAAAGGTTTTTCCCGGGTGAACGTGTCCGGTTTCGACCAATCCCGGGTGTTCAAAAAATGCGTATATTTTCAATAATCGTGATTTATCACTTCAACAGTTAAATGTTTTAGGTAGTTTAAGTTCAATTTCAAAGATCCAAATGAAATAATTGTAAATATGCTGCCGAAATTAAGTTTAAATCGCCAAAATGAGTAATCCGGGCTCGCTACCCATTTTAGTCACTTGGAAAAGGACAATCTGTGATAATCATTAAAAAACACAACATTTTGATCTAAAACTTTCAGCGAAGGCCAATCCTAGAATAATTAACTATGTCCATAAATTTCATGAAGAAAGAATGAGTATTTATTTCGTGATAATCAAAAACCCGGTTTTCGTTATCGAAAATCCCGGCCCGGCCCGGGTTTCGCTACCCATTTTAGTCACACTCTAATTATATCCTGACCATAAAATCGCGGTTCTCGGAACAAAAAAAAATTTTTTTTTAGCAAAATTATATTTTGAATATATTAATAAATTAAACATTTTTTACTATTTGAGTTTTCATTGCTAGTGTTATTTCATCTCAGTTTCCTTACAGTTCGGGTTCGTTCAATCATTTACGGTACCCGTGCGAGGGACTTTCCCAAAAGTCGTTGATGTGACTGTAACCTTATCGTGTTTCGTGAGTGTGCAAGTTACGTGTAACTGGATTTTTTTTTAAAACTATGCATTCCGTCCTTTTATTTACATTTTCACTTTTTATAACTATTGGAGCACTGGAAGAGGATCCTTTAGTGACTTATTACAAACTTTATGAACTTGGAGTTCAGCATCATCGCGAGAAAAATTACACCGTCGCAAACACTCTCTTCGAAAAAGCGTTGGAGGATTACCATTTCTACCATAAGAATGCCATTAACTGTCGTGTTGAATGTAGGAGGAAAAACAACAGCCTGGCAGAAAAACTTGCGAATTCTAGAAAAGTCTTAGATATTTTAGAAATTAATATTTTTCAAAGTTTTATTCATCAATCCAAATGCTTAAAAAGATGCTATAAAACAAATTTTGGAGAAAGACCAGAACATTTTCCTGATTCAAACAGTGTCAGGATAGACAAAGACTTTGAAGACGGGAGACATTACCAGTTTATGCAGTTCTGTCAATATGAGGTGAGAGATGCTGAAAATGCGACATAAAGGGAAATAACTCCAGTTGTGTAGTATTGAAAATGTGTAGACTTTCATTGCTTTTATGAAAGGGAGGCGTTTAATGGGATTTTATTAAAATGTAAAGTTAAATCAGCAATAAGCATGATAAGAAAGTGAAAATAAGTATAAAAAGGAAGGGTTTTTACAGCTGTATTTTATTTTAAAAAAAAAGATGTTTTTGATTTTCTGAAAATTCATTCACATGCAGAAATTATCACCTCACATGTGTGCAGTGTGAGTTTTGTTTACATCTCTGGAAATAGATTAACCATGAACCCTTATCTTGATCTTTTGATGTTGACTGCAGGAGGTTTTATGGCAGGGGGGCTGGCAGATGGATTATAGTGCTGTCAGACTCATTATAGCTAGAGTATAATCTGTAATCTGATTAGCAACTTATACAATCAGTAGTCCATGCATTAATATTTTTATTCCCTATTTTATACTTGTTCAAAACAAAGCAACATTCATATCATTATTTTATATTTAAGATACATGTATTTTATTATACTGCTTTTACTGTGAACTATCATATACATTAATTGTTTTGTATCCTGTAAGGATGAAAATTGCATCGGTTCTTCTAAAATTAAGAAATAAATATTTAAACATGTTAAAGTATCTCCAGTTTGATAGTTTAATGTAATTGAAGGGTTTTTTTAGTTACAAAATCTGGGAAATTAAGTATGAATCTGATTTCCAGATGTTCAATGGAGGATGTGCTTAATGTCTGTTTTTTACAGAGATTATTGACTGAGTCATTATTTGATTTCCAGCTGAAGAATTACCCTAAAGCTGCCTCAGCAGCCTTTACTTACTACCTGAAACATCCACATGACATTAACGCCCAACATAATGTCCAGCTGTACAGAGAAAGATTCGGGGTCAAGGACGAGGAAATTACTGACCTTGACAGAAAACCGTATCAGGTAAAAGTTAGGTCTCTTCAATTGTCTTCAGTAGAGCAAAAGGTTACAAGTTCCGATGCTGCATTTTTGAAAGCCTTAGGATAAATTTATGTACACATTGAAAAGCTTTTGAATAAAATTAAACAAGTTTTGAAATATAATCTTTTTCTTTTAACCTTTTCTTGACATAAATATCTTAGCAGTGTAAAGTTTTAGTTAGTATGCACCCAAAAATCCCTGTGTTTTGTAAAGTATGCCATGTATGTTTAGCATTGACAAACTAATGAATAACAACATTCCTTAAAATATTTACTACATAGGTACTGCACTTGACATGTTATAAGTACATGGTATTGTTCATTGTTCCTCAGTCAACTAATTGACTCATGACTCTTGAAGAGAAACAGACATAATCATAATTTTTGTCCAGAAGAAATGTTTAAAATGCTTTAATTAGAATATCTCCTAAATTTTCTTAGCAATCATGAAGAAAAAATATTTGGTTTCAGTTTCCTCCTGATCAAATTTTACATACCATCATGACTAATGTTATAATACCATATTTTACATTAAAAGGCATCTCACATACTGGGGGACATTGCGTATGATGAAAGCAATTGGACTGGAGTCATTGAACATTTTGAGAGAGCTTTGAAGGAATTCTATGAAGAAGAACAAAGATGTCGCCTCCAGTGCGAGGACAAATTAGTCATTCCCATGGAATCCCATCTCACCAACTTCTTCCAATATTTGGCAGGTAATCTGGGATTTTAATACCTAACCTTGTTATTGAAAATGCTTTTTGGGAAGAAATTTCATATGAAAGAAAACTGTTGATGTCCACAAATTTTATAAGATGCACATCAATAATCAGGTTGCAGATCAAACTGGATTTTTCCTGATTTAAGTAACAGTCAATTAAATTAAGCACATTTATAGAGCAATGGAAGAAAAAATGCAAAGATAAATATCTGACTTAAAACTTCAGTTGATTCATCTTTGAAATTATAAAAAACACCTATACAGCATGGATTATGATGATTAATGACACAACTATTTTTTAGCCAAACTTAATCTTTCTAATCAGAAATACTATTTGACAGTTACATTTTACATTTACATGGTGAAATACTAGTATTGTTCATTATATTCTCATACTGAGATATTGTTTACTGACAGAACTATACATTCCTATACTGAGATATTCTTTATTGACAGAACTCTACATTCCTATACTGAGATATTCTTTATTGACAGAACTATACATTCCTATACTGAGATATTGTTTACTGACAGAACTATACATTCGTATACTGAGATATTGTTTACTGACAGAACTATACATTCCTATACTGAGATATTGTTATTCCTATACTGAGATATTGTTTACTGACAGAACTATACATTCCTATACTGAGATATTATTTACTGACAGAACTATACATTCCTATACTGAGATATTGTTTACTGACAGAACTATACATTCCTATACTGAGATATTGTTTACTGACAGAACTATATATTCCTATACTGAGATATTGTTTACTGACAGAACTATACATTCCTATACTGAGATATTGTTTATTGACAGAAATATACATTCCTATACTGAGATATTGTTTATTGACAGAAATATACATTCCTATACTGAGATATTGTTTATTGACAGAAATATACATTCCTATACTGAGATATTGTTATTCCTATACTGAGATATTGTAAATTGACAGAACTATACATTAATTCCTATACTGAGATATTGTTTACTGACAGAACTATACATTCCTATACTGAGATATTGTTAATTGACAGAACTATACATTCCTATACTGAGATATTGTTTACTGACAGAACTATACATTCCTATACTGAGATATTCTTTATTGACAGAACTATACATTCCTATACTGAGATATTGTTTACTGACAGAACTATACATTAATTCCTATACTGAGATATTGTTTACTGACAGAACTATACATTCCTATACTGAGATATTGTTTACTGACAGAACTATACATTAATTCCTATACTGAGATATTGTTTACTGACAGAACTATACATTCCTATACTGAGATATTGTTAACTGACAGAACTATACATTTCTATACTGAGATATTGTTTACCTACAGAACTATACATTCCTATACTGAGATATTGTTATTCCTATACTGAGATATTGTTAATTGACAGAACTATACATTCCTATACTGAGATATTCTTTATTGACAGAAATATACATTCCTATACTGAGATATTCTTTATTGACAGAAATATACATTCCTATACTGAGATATTGTTTATTGACAGAACTATACATTCCTATACTGAGATATTGTTATTCCTATACTGAGATATTGTAAATTGACAGAACTATACATTAATTCCTATACTGAGATATTGTTTACTGACAGAACTATACATTCCTATACTGAGATATTGTTAATTGACAGAACTATACATTCCTATACTGAGATATTGTTTACTGACAGAACTATACATTCCTATACTGAGATATTCTTTATTGACAGAACTATACATTCCTATACTGAGATATTGTTTACTGACAGAACTATACATTAATTCCTATACTGAGATATTGTTTACTGACAGAACTATACATTCCTATACTGAGATATTGTTTACTGACAGAACTATACATTAATTCCTATACTGAGATATTGTTTACTGACAGAACTATACATTCCTATACTGAGATATTGTTAACTGACAGAACTATACATTTCTATACTGAGATATTGTTTACCTACAGAACTATACATTCCTATACTGAGATATTGTTATTCCTATACTGAGATATTGTTAATTGACAGAACTATACATTCCTATACTGAGATATTCTTTATTGACAGAAATATACATTCCTATACTGAGATATTCTTTATTGACAGAAATATACATTCCTATACTGAGATATTGTTTATTGACAGAACTATACATTCCTATACTGAGATATTGTTATTCCTATACTGAGATATTGTAAATTGACAGAACTATACATTAATTCCTATACTGAGATATTGTTTACTGACAGAACTATACATTCCTATACTGAGATATTGTTTACTGACAGAACTATACATTCCTATACTGAAATATTGTTTACTGACAGAACTATACATTCCTATACTGAGATATTGTTTACTGACAGAACTATACATTCCTATACTGAGATATTGTTTATTGACAGAAATATACATTCCTATACTGAGATATTGTTTATTGACAGAAATATACATTCCTATACTGAGATATTGTTTATTGACAGAAATATACATTCCTATACTGAGATATTGTTTATTGACAGAAATATACATTCCTATACTGAGATATTGTTTATTGACAGAACTATACATTCCTATACTGAGATATTGTTATTCCTATACTGAGATATTGTAAATTGACAGAACTATACATTAATTCCTATACTGAGATATTGTTTACTGACAGAACTATACATTCCTATACTGAGATATTGTTAATTGACAGAACTATACATTCCTATACTGAGATATTGTTTACTGACAGAACTATACATTCCTATACTGAGATATTGTTAACTGACAGAACTATACATTCCTATACTGAGATATTCTTTATTGACAGAACTATACATTCCTATACTGAGATATTGTTTACTGACAGAACTATACATTAATTCCTATACTGAGATATTGTTTACTGACAGAACTATACATTCCTATACTGAGATATTGTTTACTGACAGAACTATACATTAATTCCTATACTGAGATATTGTTTACTGACAGAACTATACATTCTTATACTGAGATATTGTTTACCTACAGAACTATACATTCCTATACTGAGATATTGTTATTCCTATACTGAGATATTGTTAATTGACAGAACTATACATTCCTATACTGAGATATTCTTTATTGACAGAAATATACATTCCTATACTGAGATATTCTTTATTGACAGAAATATACATTCCTATACTGAGATATTGTTTATTGACAGAACTATACATTCCTATACTGAGATATTGTTATTCCTATACTGAGATATTGTAAATTGACAGAACTATACATTAATTCCTATACTGAGATATTGTTTACTGACAGAACTATACATTCCTATACTGAGATATTGTTTACTGACAGAACTATACATTCCTATACTGAAATATTGTTTACTGACAGAACTATACATTCCTATACTGAGATATTGTTTACTGACAGAACTATACATTCCTATACTGAGATATTGTTTACCTACAGAACTATACATTCCTATACTGAGATATTGTTTACTGACAGAACTATATATTCCTATACTGAGATATTGTTTACTGACAGAACTATATATTCCTACACTGAGATATTGTTTACTGACAGAACTATACATTCCTATACTGAGATATTGTTTACCTACAGAACTATACATTCCTATACTGAGATATTGTTTATTGACAGAACTATATATTCCTATACTGAGATATTGTTTACTGACAGAACTATACATTCCTATACTGAGATATTGTTTACTGACAGAACTATACATTCCTATACTGAGATATTATTTACTGACAGAACTATACATTCCTATACTGAGATATTGTTTACTGACAGAACTATACATTCCTATACTGAGATATTGTTTACTGACAGAACTATATATTCCTATACTGAGATATTGTTTACTGACAGAACTATACATTCCTATACTGAGATATTGTTTACCTACAGAACTATATATTCCTATACTGAGATATTGTTTACTGACAGAACTATACATTTCTATACTGAGATATTGTTTACTGACAGAACTATATATTCCTATACTGAGATATTGTTTACTGACAGAACTATACATTCCTATACTGAGATATTGTTTACTTACAGAACTATATATTCCTATACTGAGATATTGTTTACTGACAGAACTATACATTCCTATACTGAGATATTGTTTACTGACAGAACTATACATTTCTATACTGAGATATTGTTTACTGACAGAACTATACATTCCTATACTGAGATATTGTTTACTGACAGAACTATATATTCCTATACTGAGATATTGTTTACTGACAGAACTATACATTCCTATACTGAGATATTGTTAACTGACAGAACTATACATTCCTATACTGAGATATTGTTTACTGACAGAACTATACATTCCTATACTGAGATATTGTTTACTGACAGAACTATACATTCCTATACTGAGATATTGTTTACTGACAGAACTATACATTCCTATACTGAGATATTGTTAACTGACAGAACTATACATTCCTATACTGAGATATTGTTTATTGACAGAACTATATATTCCTATACTGAGATATTGTTTACTGACAGAACTATACATTCCTATACTGAGATATTGTTTACTGACAGAACTATACATTCCTATACTGAGATATTGTTTACTGACAGAACTATACATTCCTATACTGAGATATTGTTTACTGACAGAACTATACATTCCTATACTGAGATATTGTTTACTGACAGAACTATACATTCCTATACTGAAATATTGTTTATTGACAGAAATATACATTCCTATACTGAGATATTGTTTACTGACAGAACTATACATTTCTATACTGAGATATTGTTTACTTACAGAACTATACATTCTTATACTGAGATATTGCACCCAAAAATCTCTTTTTATTGACAGAACTATACATTCCTATACTGAGATATTGTTATTCCTATACTGAGATATTGTTAACTGACAGAACTATACATTCCTATACTGAGATATTGTTATTCCTATACTGAGATATTGTTTACTGACAGAACTATACATTCCTATACTGAGCTATTATTTACTGACAGAACTATACATTCCTATACTGAGATATTGTTTACTGACAGAACTATACATTCCTATACTGAGATATTGTTTACTGACAGAACTATATATTCCTATACTGAGATATTGTTTACTGACAGAACTATACATTCCTATACTGAGATATTGTTTACTGACAGAACTGTATATTCCTATACTGAGATATTGTTTATTGACAGAACTATACATTCCTATACTGAGATATTGTTTACTGACAGAACTATACATTCCTATACTGAGATATTGTTATTCCTATACTGAGATATTGTTTACTGACAGAACTATACATTCCTATACTGAGCTATTATTTACTGACAGAACTATACATTCCTATACTGAGATATTGTTTACTGACAGAACTATACATTCCTATACTGAGATATTGTTTACTGACAGAACTATATATTCCTATACTGAGATATTGTTTACTGACAGAACTATACATTCCTATACTGAGATATTGTTTACTGACAGAACTGTATATTCCTATACTGAGATATTGTTTATTGACAGAACTATACATTCCTATACTGAGATATTGTTTACTGACAGAACTATACATTCCTATACTGAGATATTGTTTACTGACAGAACTATACATTCCTATACTGAGATATTGTTTACTGACAGAACTATACATTCCTATACTGAGATATTGTTTACTGACAGAACTATACATTCCTATACTGAGATATTGTTTACCTACAGAACTATACATTCCTATACTGAGATATTGTTTACTGACAGAACTATACATTCCTATACTGAGATATTGTTTACTGACAGAACTATACATTCCTATACTGAGATATTGTTTACTTACAGAACTATATATTCCTATACTGAGATATTGAACTATACATTCCTATACTGAGATATTGTTTACTTACAGAACTATACATTCTTATACTGAGATATTGTTTATTGACAGAACTATACATTCTTATACTGAGATATTGTTTACTGACAGAACTATACATTCCTATACTGAGATATTGTTATTCCTATACTGAGATATTGTTAACTGACAGAAGTATACATTCCTATACTGAGATATTGTTTACTGACAGAACTATATATTCCTATACTGAGATATTGTTTATTGACAGAAATATACATTCCTATACTGAGATATTGTTTACTGACAGAACTATACATTCCTATACTGAGATATTGTTTACTGACAGAACTATACATTCCTATACTGAGATATTGTTTACTGACAGAACTATACATTCCTATACTGAGATATTGTTTACTGACAGAACTATACATTCCTATACTGAGATATTGTTTACCTACAGAACTATACATTCCTATACTAAGATATTGTTTACTGACAGAACTATACATTTCTATACTGAGATATTGCTTACTGATAGAACTATACATTCCTATACTGAGATATTGTTTACTGACAGAACTATACATTCCTATACTGAGATATTGTTTACTGACAGAACTATACATTCCTATACTGAGATATTGTTTACTGACAGAACTATATATTCCTATACTGAGATATTGTTTATTGACAGAAATATACATTCCTATACTGAGATATTGTTTACTGACAGAACTATACATTCCTATACTGAGATATTGTTTACTGACAGAACTATACATTCCTATACTGAGATATTGTTTACTGACAGAACTATACATTTCTATACTGAGATATTGTTTACTGACAGAACTATACATTCCTATACTGAGATATTGTTTACTGACAGAACTATATATTCCTATACTGAGATATTGTTTATTGACAGAAATATACATTCCTATACTGAGATATTGTTTACTGACAGAACTATACATTCCTATACTGAGATATTGTTTACTGACAGAACTATACATTCCTATACTGAGATATTGTTTACTGACAGAACTATACATTCCTATACTGAGATATTGTTTACTGACAGAACTATACATTCCTATACTGAGATATTGTTTACCTACAGAACTATACATTCCTATACTAAGATATTGTTTACTGACAGAACTATACATTTCTATACTGAGATATTGCTTACTGATAGAACTATACATTCCTATACTGAGATATTGTTTACTGACAGAACTATACATTCCTATACTGAGATATTGTTTATTGACAGAACTATATATTCCTATACTGAGATATTGTTTACTGACAGAACTATACATTCCTATACTGAGATTTTGTTTATTGACAGAACTATATATTCCTATACTGAGATATTGTTTACTGACAGAACTATACATTCCTATACTGAAATATTGTTTACTGACAGAACTATACATTCCTATACTGAGATATTGTTTACTTACAGAACTATACATTCCTATACTGAGATATTGTTTACTTACAGAAATATACATTCCTATACTGAGATGTCAGGTGGATTGTGAGTACAAGTTGAGTCGAGTTTTTGCTGATCATGAAGAAGGTTTTCTAGAGGAACATTACCATTATCTTCAGTATGCCTACTATCAAAGTATGTCATTGTGTGTTAAATTCTGTCAAAGTATGTCACAATATGCCTACGATCAAAGTATGTCACAATATGCCTATTATCATATTATGCCATGTGTGTTTACTTCTTTCATAGTTCACCCAGCATCAAAGTAATTTATAGTATGTCTTCTTCTGAGTCAGTAGACCAACTTTTAATGTTCTTTTCTTTTGACAAAGTATGCTTGCTTTTATTGTTTAGCATATTTTGATTTCTTCTAGTTTGAAGTTTTTGGATAAGTCCAAGTAAATGTGACCCCTATCAAATCAAAATTGCATACTGTTGCATCTTGGAATGTACTACACTACTAGATTATAAGTTTAATGAGGGAATTAGCCTTACATGAAGACAACATATGATGAGTTGAGCTTTGTAATTCTTGATTTCTTTTGTTCATATTTGTAGCGGGTGATTTTGACCGAGCAGCCGAGGCAATTGGAGCATTTCTGTTATTTAACTCCTCCCACCCTGACATGTTACGTAACCGACTCTACTTCATCACCAGGCTAGGTTACCATGACTCCCACCTCAGCGCCAGAAAGGTAGCAAGAAGAGTACTTAATATCTATAAGTAGTCATATTTTAGTTGTTAGGAATCTGTATGTACAGTTTAGAATTAATCACTTCATTCCCAGAAAAGATGGTGTACAATTGATTCATTAGTTTTCAAAATGAGACTGTTTGAATTAGTGTATGTTAAGCAAGAAATGTTCTGAAGTTGAGAGTTATTTATTTTGTAGGAAGCAGTGGACTACATTGAGATGAGGAATAAACTGGAATCCTTGTTACAGTACCTGGAGTTTGATGATATAACAGATGATTTTGTTGATGATTCTGATGGAGTAAGTGTGCCTGCCATTGTCATCCTATTAGACATGTGTAAGACTCTGTACTTTGTCCATTAATTTCAATCTTTACAATTGATATAAAAATTTTTGAATATTTATCTGAAATATATTTACTTTAGAATAAATAATTCTAACTTCCTGTAGGAGGACAGAGAAGGGGGTCACTACTTGGGAGTTTTTGAGAGACTTGGTATAAAAGTGATCCAGACCCCCAAGGAACTGAAGGGGGAGAGGTTTACAGCAGAGGGGGTCCTGAGGGATGAGCAGAGTGAGGAATTACTCAGTCTAGCCAGGGTAAGGCACCTTAAAAGTCAGAGGAGTTACTCAATCTAGCCAGGGTAGAGCACCTTAAAGTCAGAGGAATTACTCAATCAAGCCAGGGTAAGACACCTTAAAAGTCAGAGGAGTTACTCAATCTAGCCAGGGTAGGGCACCTTAAAAGTCAGAGGAGTTACTCAATGTAGCCAGGGTAAGGCACCTTAACAGTCAGAGGAGTTACCCAATCTAGCCAGGGTAAGGCACCTTAACAATCAGAGGAATTACTCAATCTAGCCAGAGTAGGGTACTTTACCAATTAGTAAAAAAGTTGAGGAAGTGAAAATTAAGTTTTTGTAAATAAAAAGTTATTTATAGTATTATGTATGCATCAGTTCTTCAGAAGAAGTGGATTATCTCTTGAGAATAGTTTCTTTAATGATCAGATGGAACAAGATGTCTCCTTTGATGTGATTATGTTTATCTGTTAATGAGATCAAATGCTTCAGATCATTTACAAGAATAATTACAACGCATATTTATTTCATTGATAAGAACTTGGTATTAAGGTAAAAAAAAATCCTCTCCTCTCAATGGTGTGAGTGACCACTGTTCCTTTCGTCTGCAACAGAGGTGGCATCTTCACTGCCAGGTTTATGGCAGGTGCACTAAGATTGTTTTAAAGAAATCAAAATATTTACATCCACTGAATATTTTATTTTCTCCTTTATTTCTTAAGAATATCATTGCCGTTTATTAGTTCATGAACAAACTATAGGCATATCACCTGTACTGAGTTCTTGATCAGTGACTGTTCCATCAATGAAACATACTTTGAAATTCACATCAATAATATAATAATAAATCTTTTTAATCCTACTTTAAATGATTTTTTATACAGATATAAATTTAAACAATGAAATGTTTTTCTTTGGTTGTTAGTATGGAAATAAATGTCACAGCAATCGCAGAAAAATATTTACATAAGTGGCTTATGCGTGTAATGTACTTTTCTGCAATGGCTGCTACATTAATTTTTGTACTAACAACCAAAGAACAACATTCTATCGTTTAAATAAGTAATACTATGTTATTCTTTGCATTCATTTCTTATAAAAAAAATAATTATTTGCTTATAGATAAAATGTGATATTAAGATTTTATATACTTTCAGTCCGCAAGAACAGACTCATCTGGTATAAAGACAATTTCTATTCCAAATGCTATAGAGGTAATGGTCATTAAGAAGTAAATCTTTAGCATAATTTGTTTATTCTACATTCATATTGTAAATTCCTAATTAAAAGCAAGGAATTTATTATCGGGAGAAGCATCCCTCATGGAATTAATTTTCTCGCTTTTATTTTTATTGTGCTGAATCCATGTAAATTCTCTTTATTAACCGCCCATTCATAAATATTCTCATGATTTGACATTAAAGAGCAATACTGCGATAATAAGTACTCGTGAAAATAAGGAATCTACAGCATACTGCAACACAAATTCTGATAAGAACAAAACCACCTTAAGTTTCTGAGGTGATGTCTAATTCTGTGATCTGTACACAGGCGGTGAGGGGGGACCCAGAGCTTGAGATGTCCCTCCGACTTCTACTCAAACTGAGCGAGTCTGTCAGACTGTTCACCTCCAGATTCTATAACCAGACCAGCTTCTACACCAAAGAGACCAAATTAGTGTGCAGAGGGCCCACTGATCCAGGTACTTGTATTGTTTTAATATATATTGGCAGGTGTTCAGTTGCAAAAATTGACAAGAGTTACTCCCCATTTGCTATCTTTTCATTTATTTATTTATCAAGATTAGAATGCTTTTTATAAATAGATATAG